GATACATTACCTTCTACTATCTACACAGATAATTATAATTCAAATTCGGATAATTGTCTTACATCAGAAAGAGTATACACTTAAAACGACATCACTTTAAAAAAATTTACAATATTTTTGCCGACAATAATAATTCAGTTCAAAACAACTATCATACTTTAACATAAATAATATATTACATTTGAAGTTAAATCACTTAAAGAATTTTCATAAGTCGAAAATTAGGTTAAAATTTTATGGAAAAATTTTCCGTATTGACAAAAAACTCCTCAACCATTGACATAATTTCAAAATATAAATTGCATCAATATCAATCAAAACTCATGTACTAATAACCATCTTATATAACTTTGATTATATCAACATATTTCTATCTTGAATTTTTCACACAAAAAAACAATTATTTCATTAATTTTCTCTAGCTCAAACGTCACACATTTATTTATAATTGCAATTGTACTCGTATTATAAAATGTGTTCAACAAAGTTTCTAAAAAACAAAAGTGAAGTCATAATAAACTCACAAATATTAAACATATCGTAATCAGAGCCTTTCCAAACCAACACCAACATCATTACTTCGTATCTCTTTTTTGCTCATGTGAAAGATTAGACAAAGTACAATCAATAAAGCATATTCAAAACTCTTATCACTAGATTAAAATAAAAAATATAATATGAAACTCCAAAGTTAAAAGAAAAAATTTATGACCGTTGTCATATGATAATCGAAGAATAACATTACGAAAATATTTACTACAACACGTAAGTTACTCTCATCCACCTCACGACCTTTAATAATTATACAAACATACATAATAACAAAGATTAAAACTATAATTTTACTTTAGTATGGAAATTATATATATATATATATATATATATATATATATATATATATATATATATATATATATATATATATATATATATATATATATATATATATATATATATATATATATATATATATATATATATATATATATATATATATATATATATATATATATATATATATATATATATATATATATATATATATATATATATATATATATGACATGTTAATTTATAAAAGATTGAGATTAAGAATACGATTAAGAATACTTGAAAAATCGAATTTATACTTTTTTAAAATACAAAGTAAAAAGAGACGAATGACGAATAACCGTTGACTTGTGGTTCTTCTTCAATCGATACCTGTAATGCCTTGAATTCTTTTTCGATGATAGAAAAAAAAATTTGTTTGCATATGATATATTGAGGATCATAATCTATATATAGTGTAATGGTCAATTAAGGTTTCTATTATTTCCATATGAGTCATCTTTACATCATATTTAATCTAATATCTAATTAATTAATTACTAAATACAAATTTAATTAGTCTTTTAAATGTATTTGACCAGTTAATCAATTAAGACTTTTAATTTTAATATATAATTAATATAATTAAAATATATATGCTTATATAATAATTATAAAATATAATAATTAAATAATATTTAATATTCAAAAACTTAATACATCCACACTTTTCAAATAAAATATATAAGAATAAAGAAAAAAAATAATATGCGTTTTAGTTTTTTTTTAATAGTGCGAAGAATTAAACTCCATACATTTATCATTCTCCTTTATTTTTTAACATTATATTTTTAACCCTTCCTATAAACAAAAAAGACTAACTTAACTACTCTCAATCTTAAACAAATTTCTAAATATTAAACGAGTCAACTTTACGGTCATCAATTATTTACTTTAATCGGTTCCTGATCCTTGGAGCGTTAACGGTTAACCATCTTTTATGCCATATTCAAATCAATTTTACGTAAAAAGCTATGTTTGCTTTATTAAGTAGAATTTGTATGAAGATTAACTAATTCAAACAACTAGTTATTGCCGTCAAAAACTTGTATACTAGGATAATAGAATGGGAACAATATTTAGATGTGCACTAAGTCAATGAGACCCACCAAATAAATACAGATTTTGAAGCTAGAAGTTAACAAGAGAGAACAAAGTAAAAAAGAAACAAATGAAAGGTATTGAAAATGGGTGCATTTTAGAATTGATGTGTCACGTAGCTTGTTTTTTTCTTCTGTTTTAATCTTAAACTATAGTACTATATAATTGAGTTTTAACACCGCCATCATTCGTAAGCATCTTAATGAGTTAGAAGGAAAGGCTAAGCCACATAATTTGTGAAACATTGAATCAAAAACTATAGTTTTATATTATATAGTAACATCATCTTTATCTTTTGATTGAGTTAGTATATATATATATATATATATATATATATATATATATATATATATATATATATATATATATATATATATATATATATATATATATATATATATATATATATATATATATATATATATATATATATATATATATATATATATATATATATATATATATATATATATATATATATATATATATATTTTAAAATACTAATCTAACGATAAAATGTTATAATTATATCATTAGTGCATTGTCTTTATTTTCAAAATATATATTAGTACTATTAGTGTTTAATGAATGATTTTGCTTAGGAGTATTTATACTTAGATGAATTAACAAATTGTTTTAAAATAAATATTATTAGATATATTTCAAAAAATTAATTTAATAAAAAATAAACTGATGCAAATTAATGTTTTTATTTTTAAATTGCACGAACAATGGTGGAATCAACTAAAAAATGTATAAATAGAAGTAAAAAACTCTATACCGCATCTTCAAAAATTTGAAAAAATAATTTAAAAATAGTTTCTTATAGTTTCTTTTTTATTAAAATAAATCTATTTGCTACTATTGACAATAAACTATTTTTATCAACAAATAAATTTGACAATCAATTTAAAATTTAGAATTCAAGTTAAATATTTTAAGTTCTATTCGATAAGTGTTGTTCTGGATTGGGTCAGGACTTGCCTCTCAGCCGGACAGACCCAACCTAGTACTATACTGATGAGGCTCAACAAGACTCAATTCTTCTCTGTCGAACACAAGCTTCAAAAAAGACATATTAGTCGGACAGAGGACTCTCTTGACGGGGAGTCCATGCGCCTTTCCCACGTGCCCCTACGCGGGGACACGTCATCAGGTAACTATCCACTTTCGAAAGAGTTAGTCAATCCACCTTCCGAAGATCATGTGACAGTTGATCTAGGGCAAAGACCACGTGCTGATCTTCACTACGCCACGTAAGTCCTGACAGTTACTTGTGTTGGACTTGACAATCCGGCCCACTGCAATGTAACCGTTGACCCTGCACTGTGGGCACATGATAAATACTCTTTTTCATTAAAAGGCCAAGTATCTTATTCACTACACCTTCTCTCTGTGTTCTCTCTAGTTCTGTTACTCACTTAAGCATCAGAACATTTTACAGGTGCATCCCCTTTCTCCATTAAAACACTGGCGAAGACAGCAACTCATGATTTGTGACAGAATACTGACTCCTTTCTGATCCGATACAATCAAGTTTATTATTCGAATTATTAAATATTAATACATTTATTAGATGTTGGTGAGTAAATTTATTAGATGTTGTGAGTGAAGTTATTTAAATCAATTCGTTATTTAAATCAATTTGACGATGATAAAATATATATTTATCAATAAATAAAATCCATGAAATAAATTCTTTAAATTTCAATTCTGTATTTAGGTTTATTGTTTAATTTATTAAATATTAATATATTTATCTGATCAACATTGCTCAAATATGATTAAGTCTATTGTTAGAGAAATACAACTACTATCACAATTATTGTTTGTATTAAAATTAGATAATATTTTTATGAATTTATGAATCTCTATTTTTATATATTGTTTGGAAGATTGTAAATCCAGTGGATGTTTGTATCTTATACATTTAATACACTCAAACTTATGAGTTTTAAAGATTACCCTTTTAAATTAGTCCAGAACGGATATTAAACTCTTCTGTTGCCTACTGTTTCTGGAATAGTATGTTTTGGAATAGTAGGTGTGACTTTTTGTTGATTCAGGTATAAGCTTATATATCTAATTATTTACGATTGTTTTTCGAGGCATAATTATTGGTGACATTAAGTAAAGAGTTATTGCAATGGTACATGATTCTGTCAATGTCTTTCTTCAAAGACTTTGTGAGAGCTTAGAACCTTGCATTCCCTTTCTTTTAGATGTAAAACATAGTACGTTGAACATGAGGTTTTAATTCAGTATTAGGTTGAGTTATTCTTTTTAAACTTTATTACATTTTTCTCCTTTGGCTAACAATGATTTGGATAAAATTGTCATTTCCTTATTATTAAAAGAAATTGTCATTTCTTCGTTAAAATCGATGGTATAGTGACCATTAGTGTTTGAAAATGTGGTATAAATGTTATTGGTATTTGGAAGTGTGGTAAAGTAGCTTCAATTTGTATTTGAAGTTACAATATTTTACAACTAATTAGTGTTAATATGAATATTAAGCGAAAATTGTAAAAAACTGCAGAGTTTTGTTCAAATAGTTTATTCAGACAAACATATAAAGTGTATCTATGTGAAAGGGATAATTTTAAAAATACAGAGGTTTAAAGAATTAATTCAGAGGTAATGAGCCAAATGAATTCCATTCCTCAAAAACTTATCTACCTATTTACATTTAGTTTCTTAACGTGTGTATTAAAGACCAAAGTAGGATTAGCCTTTAATTCAAGTAGAAAAAAAATCCATGGAATAGTAGTAGTACAGTATCTTGTTCAACCAATTCTAAAATCCTTGTGTGGCCCCTATCTTAAAAAATAATGGTATGTGATAATCTCTCTTATTAGAAAGAAAAAAAATGTCAACATATATATTATAAAGCAGAAACAGGACTAACTGCACAGTGGGAAAAAGTTTAAGACAGAAGAACACTTCCTTACAGACAACTGTTATTAGTATCTTACTATTTTGCAAAGATTAAAGGAGAAGCCCCAAACAAGCTTTGCTTGGTAAGAAAATTAATCTCTTCTCTTCTTCTTTTTCTCAGTCCTCTCTCCTGAATTCTTCAACTGGAAAGAGTAACAAAAAAAACCAATCAATACAACATTTATAAGGGAAAAACAAAATGCAAAAAACAAAAATGGAGGATGAAACTATAATGGGCGTTTCAAAAACAAGTCTCACCATGATGACTAGAATTCGGATAAAGATTGCAGCCAAATCAGTAAACAAAGTCAGAGCATGCTTCACATAATCCAGATCACCAAAGTGTGCCTTCTCAACTATTTCTTGTGTGTCTACTACAATGTAACCCACAAACACCAGAAGCCCAAAATACAACTGCAAAAGAAGGAAATAAACACCGTGTAAGAAAACAAAACAAAGCATAAAGATAACTCCCACAAAAGTAAGAACCCTGGCAGCAATTTACCTCAAATTTAAAGAGAGCCATAGAACCCCCAAAGATGGAAGATGCGAAGTGCAACCAGAGAAGAATGGACAACCCAGAAGAAACCAAGCCACCAAGATACAAATACTCCCTACGCTTAGCAACCAAAGCTGCTCCAGAGAAACAACCAAAAGCCAAGGCAGTTGCCACAAATGAACTGAAGATAAGGCTGGAACAATGGAAAACTAATGTCACAAATCTATCTAAAACTAAATATATATCACAAATGTACTCGATGAAATTATGAATCAAACACAAAAATAAAATAGTTGTAGCAAAGATTAGGATGTTAGGTTGGATGTGTGGTAACACTAGACATAATAAGATCGATAAAAAATGATGAGAAAGTCGATCCATGTGAAAGTCGAGATTAACTATCATGTAGTCGACGCCAGTATAAGACTTGGTTGTTCTATGAAATTATGAATATAGGAATCCCTTGCGAACAGCAAGATCAATCTTTGACACACAAAAAAACGGAAGATTTCAAAGCACTGGCAAACTACAAATATAATGAAAGCATACCTTGGATCAACTTGAATAGCCAAATCAATCAAGGGTCCAATAGAGGCACCCTGAAACATTGCCGCGGCCATCAACAAACTCAACCTCTTTCTCTGCATAACCATAAACAAACACACATTTGATTAAATAACAAATGAAACTACAAAACCATGAAAGGAACAAAAAAACAACATAAAGAATCATATCCATACCTCTTCATAAGGAGGCGTTGAAAGTAACCAAACACTGGTTCCCACACACGCAATTGTGGTGAGAATCCCGCCAAGGTGAAAAAGGACATGAAGGTAAGCTCCAACAGCAGCCGCAGCAACCGCAAAACACAAGGTCAAGTAAACCTACAAACATTCAATCAATCCAATTGTAAAACTAATTCTTTTAACAAATATTCAATCATCAAAATATTTTATAAACCTAATTCTTCTAAATCCCTAATTCTTCTAAATCAAAATTGGCGTAATCCAAAAAACGCATCAACAACAACAACAAATACACATCGAGGATGAATCAACAAACCCTAGAAAACCACCGATTCAGATAATTTCATTACTAATCGAAGAAATAACTAAATTATATCAAAAAACCTAGAAATTTGACCGAATTTTAAAAAAAAAAAGAAAAAAGAGATGAAACCTGTTTGAGATGATTCCTGACAACGGGAGAAATTTGACCGAAGTTCTTGAGAGTATCAAAATTCCATCGGTTTGTTGAATCGAAGAACGAAGTGAAAGAAGAAGCCATGGATAGATTCGTAATAACAATAACGGGTGAATAGAACTATGAATATGAATAATGACTACGAGAGAACTAAATTTATATAAATAAATCTGATTTTTGATATTGATATTAAATACTTGAAAGAGACGTGAGGATAATTTCGAAGAAGGTTCGGGAGGTTATTACTAAAATGTCCTTTTCCTTTCTCAGCTAGAATAGTCATCCAAATTTGGCTTTGTTTATTTAGCTAAACACGAATTTGTCTTTTGTGATTTGTCAGAGTGATTGTATTTATTTATACACGTAATGTAACCAATTGTAGATTGACATGTCAGCATCCACGTAATATTTCTATAGATTAAGTGCCACGTCATGGTTATACACTATCAACGAAACTTACGGAAATACCTACCGCCAGTCACAACAAATCAAAACCGAAATGACTTGGAAATTGGTTGGTTTAATATTAAAAGAAAATCTATGAAAAATATATTAAACTGTTGACATTGGGTGATTTATTTTGTAGATTCTTTTTTCAAAATACCCTTTTTTGAAATAAAAAATACCATAATATTTCCCTCTGAATTTTAATTACGCAAACGCTCCATTTCAATAGAAGCTCGTTCACTGAATGAGTGAGATTGTGCAGTGAAAATAGGACTGTGTGAGTTCATTCATCGAATGGACGAGCTAGTGAGGGACTCAATTTTTTTTTCTTCTGATTTTTATTATTTAATGTTAAAAAATTATACATCTTCACTAGCCCGTCCATTGTGTGGACGAGCTTACACAGTCCTATTTTTATTGTATATTCTTGTCCATTCAGTGGACGAATTTCTACTGAAGTGGAACAGTTGCGTAATTAAAATTTAAAATTCCGTATTATAACATTTTTTATTTTAAAAAAGGGCATGTTGGAAAAAAAAACTTATTTTATAACTTTCTTAAATACTGTAACTCAAACTAAACTAGTTTTTCTCTTCCTCTCTTAAAGATTTTGTTTTTGTGGTGGTGGGGTGAGGGACATTTTCTCAAATATTGACGGATGGATAAAAAATATGCTTTAGAAAATTATTCCAACTATTCAAAATCTTCAACCACCAAAAATTGAATCTTTTACTACAATAACAATGTTCTATCCAATATTACTCAAACCAATAATCTTTTTCTCACAAACTTCATTATATTCAACTTTAAAAAAAAATTACACGTATAAGAAAATGTCAATACGGCTAAACTTCTCTTTTAAATTTATAAAGAGTGTTAATAAAAATAAAGCCCTCTTTAAAATTTGTAAAAAGATGTTAATTGAATTAAACTGTCCTCTTAAATTTGTACGAAGGTGTCAATAAAAATAAAACTTCATACAAAATGGAGCGCAATTGGACTAAACCTACCCATTATTGCGTTAGTGAGAACAATCTTTATAGATTGGGATCACTATTCGCGACCAGAGGATTTAACCGTCAAAATTAATCATTCGTTGTTGACGAGACAAAAGATCACAATGATGGTCGATCAATGGGATACTAACGGGTAGAAATTCGTAAAAATTGGTGCGATTGTGAAAAGTTTCAAACCTTCTGTATGCCTTGTTCCCATGCCATTGTGGCATGTTTCAATGATCGTCAAGACTTATTCTTGCAACTATCAGATGTTTACAAAGTCATAAACTTATTCAGTACACTACGCCAGAATTGACTTTTAGCAGCGCATAAAAAGACAACGCTTTATAACAAAGTGCTGCTAAATAGTCAGTAAAAAAAAAAGAAAAAAAATTACATACCAAAGACAGCGCTTTTAAAAAAGCGCTGCTAAAGGGGGAGCCTAAGACAGCGCTTTTTAAAAAGCGCTGCTAAAAGGGGACCCTAAGAAAGCGCTTTTAAAAAGCGCTGCTAAAGGAGGACCCTTTGAAAGCGCTTTTTAAAAGCGCTGCTAAAGGGGGACCCTACGAGAGCGCTTTTTCTATAAAGTGCTGCTGTATGTCATTGCTAAGGCACCCTATGAAAGTGCTGCTAAAGGCTTTTAAAAAGCGCTGCTAAAAGTATTAGTATAATAATTTTTATATACCCTCCAGAATTTTAAGAGATACAGAAGTCGCGAGTTTCTTTTTTTCTTTCTTTCTCCTCTGCTCTGGCGAACGAACTTTGCCCTATATACCCTCCAGAACCATTCCGTTGCCGTCGCCCTCCCTCCGACCGTTGCCGTCGCCGTCTTCCGTTCACCGTCCGTTTTCGAGTGCCTCCGTCCATTGCATTTCCAACATTGTTACGGTATGTGTAGTTTTACTATGGTTTTCTTTTTTATTGATCTTTTCACCATTGTTATATATTTCTTTGAACCTTGATATATGATATATGATAGATTTATTGGAAAATATTTGTTGTCGCTTTATTGGAAAATATTGGAAAATATATGATAGATTTATTGGAAAATATTTTTGTTGATGAAACTTTTGGTATTAAAATTGAAACAATCTGTTTGTAGAGAGAAGGAATGTGCTTCATGTTATATATATATATATATATATATATATATATATATATATATATATATATATATATATATATATATATATATATATATATATATATATATATATATATATATATATATATATATATATATATATATATATATATATATATATATATATATATATATATATATATATATATATATATATATATATATATATATATATATATATATATATATATATATATATATATGTTGTTATGGTTTTATATGTTGATATGGTTTTATATGTTAATGGATTATCTAGTATTTTTAATATGATATATTTTGGTGGATTATCTAGTATTTTTGTTTTGTAAATTATTAATATGATTTTAATAAAATTTATATTTTGTCTGTTATAGGGGTTACCTGTGAAGAGCAAGGTTGTGATCGTTTCCAAGCATCCTACTGTATAGCTTTCTTAGAAGTTAGTGATTTCTTTACATGTATTATCTGTTTTTGCTTAGACTACTCAATTATTATGGATAAAAATTGGATGTCTGTTAATCGATTGTCAAAAGAGTACGAGAATGGGGTATCGAACTTCGTTAAGTTTGCTGTTGAACACGCCAAAGACCCCAGTAGGATCACATGTCCTTGCTTAGGTTGCTGTTATGGGCGTCGAATTGACGCGGTTCAATTGGAATCTCATTTAATGAGACATGGAATTGATCGAAGTTACACATGTTGGACACTACACGGTGAGATAAGTAACGAGAATGTTGAACCCCAAAACAATACGACCTCTACTTCAAAGGACAATGGTAGGGATACATACGATTGTGATCGAGTCGAAGATATTGCAGAAGCACTTGAAAAAGATCTTCAAGATTGTCCAAAGATGTTTGAGAGGTTGGTAAGCGATGCAGAGAAGCCGTTGTATAAAGGTTGCACTACTTTCATAAGATTGTCTGCGGTATTAAAGTTGTACAACTTAAAGGCGGGTAATGGATGGTCGGATAAAAGTTTCACAGAGTTGTTAGCCCTACTTCAAGAGATGCTTCCGGAGGATAATGTTCTTCCCAATCGAACCTATGAAGCTAAAAAAATGTTATACTCTATTGGTATGAGCTATGATAAGATACATGTTTGTCCAAATGATTGCATTTTGTTTCGAAATGAGTATGCATCATTAAACGAGTGTCCTAAATACGGTGTATCTCGGTATAAGAAAAAGTTGTCACCAGCAAAAGTCTTATGGTATTTTCCTATAATTCCGAGATTCAGACGCATGTTTCGTAGTGAAACAGATGCGAAACACCTTACTTGGCATGCAGATGATAGAATTATAGATGGGAAGTATCGACATCCGGCAGATTCACCACAGTGGATGAAAATTGATAATGATTATCCTGATTTTGGAGAAGAAGCTAGAAACCTTCGCTTGGCATTATCGACTGATGGAATGAATCCGCACGGTCTGCAAAGTATCTCACATTCCACCTGGCCTGTAATTCTTATGATTTATAACCTACCTCCATGGCTATGTATGAAGCGTAAGTACATGATGTTATCTATGTTAATTTCTGGCCCTAAACAACCAGGAAACGACATAGACGTATACCTGACACCTTTAATCGAAGACTTAAAAAGTTTGTGGGAGAACGGTGTGGAGGTTTATGATGGATATAGGAAAGAAAGTTTTAATTTGAGGGCCATGTTGTTTGGCACAATTAATGATTTCCCAGCATACGGAAATCTATCGGGGTATAGCATTAAAGGTCAATGTGCGTGTCCTATCTGTGAAGAAAACACAGATTGGACGCGGTTGGAATTTGGTCAGAAGAATGTCTTTCTTGGTCATCGTAGATTCTTAAGTTCTAATCATCAGTACCGTGGGTGGAGGCAAGAATTCAATGGAAATTCAGAACAACATAGAGCACCACCTACATTGACTGGCGATCAAATTTTTGCAAAGGTGAAAGATGTGAGTACTCAGTTTGGCAAGCCTTTTGCTCATAAGCTTACCACGCGTGGGTGGAAGAAGAGGTCAATTTTGTTTGAGTTGTCGTATTGGAAGTCGTTGTATGTACGACATTTTCTTGATGTTATGCATATTGAAAAAAATGTATTTGAAAGTGTTATTGGTACGTTACTCAATATACAAGGAAAGTCTAAGGATGACCTTAAAGCAAGAAAAGACTTGGTAGAAATGGGAATAAGAAATGAATTAGGACCCCAGAAGAAAGGAAATCACACTTATCTACCACCTGCTGCATATACTTTGTCTAGAAAGGAGAAAAAGATAATGTGTAAGTTTCTGAGTGAAGTTAAAGTTCCAGAAGGATACTCTTCAGATATTAGAAGACTTGTTTCTATGAAAGACCTAAAGTTAAAGAGTTTAAAGACACATGATTGCCATGTTCTTATGGAACACTTTCTACCAATAGGTATACGTTCTATTTTGCCAGAAAAAGTGAGAGGCGCAATAACAAAATTGTGTTTCTTTTTCAGATCTATTTGTAGTAAGGTGATCGATCCTGCGATCTTACCAACATTGCAAA